CTATACACATGGATCTCACCTGATGGTATGCATAGGAATCAAATAGATTATATTTGTGGAAAGACTTGGTGGAGAAGCTCAATATCAGCAGTGAAAACCAGGCCGGGTGCTTACTTTGGGACAGACCACCAACTACTCAAGATTAACTTGATCTGTGTATATATATAAATTGACATTCAATCTTTAGAAAACATATTTTTGACATGTCAATTGTCAGTTTACTATTTTTTTTATTTGTTCACAGTCTTTTCTCTTTGGTAGATTCTTAAGATAGTCTTTGATGTTGTACAGGTTCACTGTTTGTGGATTTGGTTTTGTTTTAATTTATCCTACTCTGGATCCAAGATGCTTCATATAACTGAAGAGTCAGGTCACAGCTATCTACATTTCTGGATAAATCTCAGCCATCATCGTTTGAATAGTGCCTCCTTCACAGTCTATCTATCCTTTCTTTGGAGACACTAATAAGCCTGTATTGAATCTTCCTATTCTTTACCCTGTGTCTCTTAACTTCCCTTTTATAATGTTGGTTGGTTGGCTTTTATTGTTATGATTCCTTCTGGGTAATTTTCTCAGACCTATCTTGCAGTGTATCAATTCTTTCTCTAATTGTAACTTAATTTTTAATTTGAATGACTACGTTTTTTCACTTCCAGAAGTTCTTGGGTGACACAGATGGTGAAACATTTGATTGTTAGCCAAAAAGTTGGTGGTTTAAGCCCAACCAGGGGTAACTTGGAAGACAAGCCTAGTGATTGTGTAAAATGTCACAGACTACAGGACTCCGTGAGCAGTTCTACTCTATACACTATGGGTCAACATGAGTCAGAATCAAGGTGACGGTAACCAACAAACAAATAAGTTCTATTTCCTACTTAACTATTAATTTTTTTAGGAAATTAATCAAACTGATGTTTAATATTTTTAAAAATCTATTATGAAGATGAAGGGACTTTTATTCCCCTGATCCTCTTCTGAGATATCTATTTGAGAACATGCTTCAGAGAATCGGAAAATGAATGAAGAAGACTCAACATAAGGTCGGGTGAAGACCACAGAGGGCTCAAGGAGATAACTGAAATGAAATGATTGTGGTCCCATGAAAGAGGAGAATACTTACCAAGCTGTTGTTAGGTGCTATTAAGTCAATTGTGGTGCACAGAAAACCTATGTACAACAGCTAGAATTCCTGTCTGATCCTGTTCCATCCTCACAATCTCCACTGTCCATGACATTCTTTCAAAACAAAAATACTAACACAGGTCACTACTTACATGCTTGGATGTTTTAATTCTGCCATAATACACGTATCCTTCTTTTTTAAAGGGATTCCAATCGAACTGCACTCTCATTTTCCACCTCAGGCTGTCTCTAGAAAATGTTTGGATTCCTTCCCTCATCCAAGCAGTCATTATCTGCTCTCTGTTCTTTGTTGTTGTTGTGTTAGTGCCTTACTGTCTTTCATATGGGAGCTCCGCTGGCTGAGTCTGTAGGAAGGTGCACTGCTAGTTCAGAGGCTGAGCCTCTGGTGGTCTGAATCCACTGGCAGGTCTGAGGGAGAAAGACGTGCAGCCTCTTCTTGTGCAATTTACTGCTTCCGAAAACCCACTGGTTGTTAGCTATAAATCAATTCTTACTCAAAGGCAACGAACTGAGTTGAGTTTGACTACCTCTCAACTAGCCATAACAAATTATGGCTGACATTGAGAAGAATGGGAATTCCAGAACATTTAGTTGTGCTTATACAAAACCTATACCTAGACCAAGACGCTGTTGTCCAAACAGAGCAAAGGAACACTTTAGGGTTTAAAATCTGGGAAAGTGTGCAGCAGGGCTGTAGTATCCATCCTTTCTAAGACTATATGCAGGATAAAGCATTTGAGAAGCTGGATTATATGAAGAAGAATGTGGCATCAAAATCAGAGAAAGAGCCTTTCTACGAAGATAGCGCCGAAAGCGAAGAAGGAAGCTCCTGCCCCTCCCAAAACTGAAGCCAAAGCAAAGGCATTGAAGGCCAAGAAGGCAGTCCTGAAGGGCGTCCACAGCCAAAAAAAAAAAAAGAAGATCCGCACGTCACCCACATTCCGGCGGCCTAAGACGCTGAGACTCCGACGGCAGCCCAAATACCCCTGGAAGAGCGCTCCCAGGAGAAACAAGCTTGACCACTATGGCATCATCAAATTTCCCCTGACCACTGAGTCAGCTATGAAGAAGATAGAAGATAACAACACACTTGTGTTCATTGTGGATGTCAAGACTAATAAGCACCAAATTAAACAAGCTGTAAAGAAGCTCTATGACATTGATGTGGCTAAGGTCAACACTTTGATTAGGCCTGATGGAGAGAAGAAGGCCTATGTTCGACTTGCTCCTGATTATGATGCTTTGGATGTTGCCAACAAAATTGGGATCATCTAAACTGAGTCCAGCGGGCTAATTCTAAATGTAATAAATTTTTCTCACCATAAAAAAAAAATCAGAGAAAGACTCCTCAATAACCTGCACTGTGCAGATGACAGAATCTTGCTTGTTGAAAGTGAGGAGGACTTGAAATGCTTGCTACAGAGGATCAAAGACTACAGCCTTCAATATGGGTTACATCTAAACATCAAGAAAAAAAAAAATCCTCACCACTGGGCCAACAGGCAACATCATGATAGATGAAGAAGAGATAGAAATTGTCAATGATTTAATCTTGTTTGGATCCACAATCAACACCCTTGGAATCAGCAGCCAGGATATCAAAAGACATATTACATTGGGAAAGTCCACTGACAGGAACCTCACTAAAGTGTTAAAGAATAAGGATGTCAGTTTGAAGACCAAGGTACATCTGATCCAAACCATGATCTTTTCAATTACTTGCTAATTGGACAATAAAAAAGGAGGACAGAAGAAAAATCAATGTTTTTGGGTTGTAGTGTTGAAGAAGAGTGCTGACTATCCCGTGGACTGCAGAAAGGGAGAGCAATATGCAATATGTCTTGGAAATGGTATAACCAGGGTACTCCTTGGAGGCAAGGATAGTGAAACTTTGTCTCACATACTTTGGACATGTTGTTAGCAGGAGCTAGTCCTTGGAAAAGGACAGCATACTTGGAAAGGTGGAGGATCATTGAAGGAGGGGAAGATCCTCACTGACATGGACTGACATAGTGACTCTAATGATGGGCTTGAGTAGGTCAGAGATGGTCAGGATGGCAGGGTTCACATCCATTGTTCACAGGGTCGCTATGAGTCATAGTTGACTCAACAGCACCTAACAACAACAGCAACAACCTCTCAGCTGTCTACTTTTCTATCAACGCTCACTGCTTTAATTCCAACCTTCATCATTTTTCACTTAGATTACTGAAACAGCCTGTTAAAAAATCTCCCTACCTTTTATCTTGCCATCAACCCTCCAAAGTGATCTTTCTATTACCTTTCGTTACCTACCCTTCAGGGACTGCACAAGACCTTTCATTGCTTGCTTACTTCTCTGGACACATACGCCACTGTTCTCAGTTACCAAAGTAAGTTGCCTGGGCTCCAATTTTACCACCGTCTTCTACTGTATGACAGATAAGTTGCTCAATCTCCATAAACCTCAGCTCCTTAATCATCTCAGTAAATCAATCAATTCACTCAACCGTCTATTCAATGGGAACTACATCAGTCATACTTGGGCCACAGAAATGAATCAGAGGAAGGAAGGATGTCATCAGAGAAAAATCTGGTCTTTCGGGGTTTTCTTCTTTAAAGGCTCATAGGAAGAACTGCACTCTTGCTCTACTTCCTGGAACCCAGACACTTCCCACCATCTCATCTACTTCCCCTGCTTACTCCAGATCACTACATAAAGCAGGAGATGGGGTAGCTCTTTATACATGCTGGCTCCCTCCAGACAGCCCGAGAAGCCTGTCCTGGGGCAATCAAAGGCTTATGAGTTGTGGTCAGCAGTTGGACACTGGCCCTGTCTTGACTGGGCCTCAGTAATCCAATGCTGTTGAATTGAGTAAGAGCAGGGCGCTCTGCAACTGAGGGCTGTTTATCTTTAGCTGGTGGGCCAGTGGGAAGGTTTGAGGGGAATTGGTGAGTTCACTCCCACTTGTAGTAATATTTCCAGAGAATCATTTCTTTGCTGGGGCAGGTCCCTGATACCAGGACACTCATTAACCCTCTGGGTGCCAGGAAAAGGGCAGGAGGTGAGTGCCAGATGAAGGCAGCTGAGGTCATCCTTCTTTGAACCTCCACGTGGTATTTACTCAGAGAAATTATTGCCAGAAACCCAGGCACCAGGAGTATAAAGCAGATTGTCTGTTCTCTGTGCCCAGAACAGAGCAGACCAGCAGTGAGACAGAGGGGTGGGAGTTGGAGCTTTCAAGAGAGAGCTGGAGGTGGCATGAATTAACAGCATTGTTTTGGAGCACTTTGAAGCCATTGCTGCTTCTCTCTCGGTAGGCCTCAGCTTTCTCAGTCATGAAATGGGAGGATAGGTGATGATAGGTAGGAAATAAGGGCCTAGTCAGCTTTCCTGACGCTTGGGGAGGGTATCAGTGGGAAAACTTTTACAAAGTGATTTGAGTCACATACTCCTACACATTATACGACTGAGGTAGGAAACAACAATGCATTCCCCTACCCCATGTCTGAGAGAGACATCCCTCCTCTCCTATCTTGACCAGTCCCCTGGTATGCTCTGTGTTCCCTGTATCCTAAGGAAGGGCTAACAGGGCATTGGGCAGGGTTTAATCATCCCTCCCACTGCCCTCTCAACTCAACCAGGTTTCCTTCTTCAAGTGGATGATGGCAAGCAGACCTATGATGCTGATCTGGGCTTTGGCCCTACTCTCAGGTGAGTGGCCAACTCAGATTTCAATGCGGGGGCAGGGCTGGGGTTGCAGATTGGACAGATGGACCTTTCACTGGGGGTAGGAGAACCCAGTTCCTCAATAACTCAATCTCTTTCGACAGTGTCTTCAGCCACCCAGGGACAGAAAGGTTTCTGGGACTACTTCAGCCAAAACAGCGGGGACAAAGGCAGGGTGGAGCAGTTCCAGCAGCAGAAGCTGGCTCGTGAGCCCGTGTGAGTGGCAGGGCAAGGGCCGTGGCGAAGGGTGTCCAAGGTTGATGAGAAGCCTCTGTTTCTGGCCCTGAGCGGTGCTGGCCTAACCTATCTATCCCCGACCTTCTGGGCTCCTCAGGGGTCTTCTCTGTGAGCCTCAGCTCCTGTACTCCCTGAAGTGTGGGTCCCAGGATCTGGTAGAAGGGGCCCCATCCCATCACGGTACTTAGAACAGGGATTGTGTGCAAGTTGAAGTGTATCTGTGCCCGTGCTCGTGTGTGAGACGATGTGGCTAACTGGGGTTAGAACTGGAAGTCTCTAACTCTTCAGCTACCGCTTTGGTATCCCCCAGAGGGATAAATACTCCAGGTCCCTGGCAAATAGTGACTAAAAAGTCTTCAACTAGAAGTTTGATGGCCTGTATGTCTGTCCCAATTCTAGGAGACTGAAAGACAGCCTAGAACAAGACCTGAGCGATATGGACAAATTCTTGGAAAAACTGGGCCCTCTAAGTGGGCAGGGGCGACAGCCTCCTCGGCTCCCACAGGATCCTGCGGTCATGCGGCAGCAGCTGGAGGAGGAGCTGGAGGAAGTGAGGGCACGCCTGGCGCCCTACATGGCAGAGGCGCACGAGCGCGTGGGCTGGAACCTGGAAGGGCTGCGGAGACAACTGAAGCCCTACACGATGGAGCTGATGGAGCAGGTGGCCCTGCGCGTCCAGGAGTTGCAGGAGCAGTTGCGGGTGGTCGGGGAGGACACCAAGGCCCAACTGCTGGGGGGCGTGGAGGAGGCCCGGGGCCTGCTGCAGGAGCTTCAGAGCCGAGTGGTGCATCACACCGATCGCTTTAAGGCGCTTTTCCACCCGTACGCTGAGCGCCTGGTAACTGGCATTGGGCGCCACGTGCAGGAGCTGCACCGCAGCGTGGCGCCCCACGCGTCCGCCAGCCCCAAGCGCCTGAGCCGCTGCGTGCAGGTGCTCTCGCGCAAACTCACGTTCAAGGCCAAAGCGCTGCACTCAAGCATCCAGCAGAACTTGGACCAGCTGCGTGATGAGCTCAGCGCCTTTGTTGGCATCAGCGCGGATGGGGCTGACGGAACTGGCCCAGACCCCCAGGTGCTCTCTGAGGAGGTACGTCAGCGCATCCAGGCCTTCCGCCGGGACACCTACCTCCAGATCGCCGCCTTCACAAAGGCCATCGACCAGGAGACAGAGGAGGTTCAGCAGCAGCTGGCGCCGCCCCCACCAGGCCACAGTGCTTTCGCTCCGGATTTCCTGCAAGCGGACAGCAGCAAGGCCTTGAGCAAGCTTCAGGCCCGCCTTGACGACCTGTGGGAAGACATCACCCACAGCATCCACGATCAGGGCAAGGACCCTCTCGGGGAGTCCTGACGATCCGCTTGCCCAGATCCACTCTCCAGCTCTCAGTCCCGGCGACTTGGACCTGAGCCCCTAGCATGCTCAGTCCTGACAGTGGCCTGTTAGGCAGAGCGTGGAGAACCCTGAGTAGTGAGGCCAAGGAAGAGGCTGCTCCTGCATACCCAGCCTCCTGTGACTTCCCCTCTGGATGCATTACACTCACCAGGCTTCACAAACCGGCTTCCCGTGGTCATTTGGGAATCCTCGTGAGTTGTTCCAGTCAGGGCTGGAGGGTTTGGGAAGGGAGAGGGGCACTGTTTGTGCGAGTCATCACAGCCCAACTCGACCCCACTCAGTGCTGTAGAGTCTGAACCGACTCACAGCTGACTCTCCAGTGGGTTTTCAGAGACTATAATCATAAGGCAGGAGACTGCCCATCTTTCTACTGCACAGCAATTGGTGGACTTGAATTTCCCACCTCTGAATTGGCACTATAACTCCCTATCCACTAGGCTTTCAAGACCGCTGCAGCTGTGATGGAAGTCTGTGCCACTTTTCCCCTGTGCATGCCTTGGATCACTGCTGGTCAACTGGACCCTAGTTTCTCTATGGTTAGGAGCATTGTCTCCCCATGGTTGCCATGACAGCTGCTACTGAGGGAATAGAAAAAGGAAAAATCTATGGAAAGAAGAGAGAAAGAGAGACAGAACAAGAGAGAGAGACACAGGGGAGAGGGGTGTGTGTGTGTGTGTGTGTGTGTGTGTGTGTGTGTGTTCTTGCTGGTTCTGATGTTGATGCAAAGGGATGGTGGAGAGTGTGATGGGAGGGGATAGAGTTCATATTTCCATACATAGCTCCACATCTATAAACAGTTCCTGCATCCTCCAAACTGTGGGGACTGTTAAGCCCTCTTGGGAGCAGGCTGTGTGCCCTACCATTGCCAACCACTCCCTACAGACTAATTAGTCTTCTAACTCAACTCCAGTGAAATAGATGCTTATGGTGGAAGCTTGATTTCCTGGTGTGTCTTTCATTTGTGTCATGACTGTAAACAGTGGTCTCACCAAGATCCCCACTGCACACATATCACTCACACTGGTGCTTTCTCATTAGCCCTAGCTAATGCAGGTCTGTTCAGTGTGCCTAAGTTTTGGCAGGGTTCTGCTTTAAGGCTTTTGGTGGACCTGGGCTAGAGAACCTTCCTCTACTTCTGCATGGTTTCTAGTCTGCTTATCATGGGATAATTTGTGTATAACATCACTAAACTATGGTTATGTGGAACTGAGACTGTTGAGGTGGCTCTTCTCCTTGTTCTTGTGGTCCAGATTTTGAATAGTCTCTTTATGACCCATTTCCTTCTTTGAATCCTCTAACCTCAAATTTTCTCCATCCATATATATGTCTCCTCAGCAGCACCAAGGATCCTTTTAGATCCCTTGGAACCTCTGAAACTGGAGGTAAAATGAGAGTTGTTGTTTGTTGTTGATGCTATTATCATGTGCCATCAAGTTTCTTGCAACTCATAGTGACCCTATGTGCAACAGCTCTGAACTTCGCTTTTTCCTGAGCAAATTTTATCATCTCTGACACTCCTTCCCCTATTTACCCAGTCACTGAGTCAATCCATCTCATTCAGAGTCTTCCTCTCTTGCACTGTCCCTCCACCTTTTCAAGCATGATATCCTTCTTTGAGGACTGGTCCCTCCTGGCAACATGGCCAAAGTATGTGAGATGGAGCTTCAAAATCCTTGCTTCCAAGGAGTAGCCTGGTTTCACCCTCTCCAGGAGAGACATGTTTGTTCTCTTAGTAGTCCATAGTATATTCAGTACTCTTCTCCATTTCTTCATGTGCTTGTTAGCCATCTGAATGTCATCTTCAGTGAAGTACCTGTTCATATCCTGTGCCCATTTTTCTATTGGATTATTTACCTTTATCTTGTTGTGGTGCTCAGTATTTAATAAATTCTGGATATAAGTCCCTTATCTGATATGATATTACCAAATACTTATTCCCAGTCTGTGGCTTTCCTTTTTACCCTGTTGGAGAAGTTTTTGGATGTGCATAGGGATTTGAGTCTTAGAGGATCCCATTCATCTACTTTATCTTCTCCTGGTTGTAGGCAGTACTCTTCCAGCACAACTCAAAGGCTTTTATTTCATTTCTATCATCTTTAGTCATTGTTCAGCTCTCTGATGCACAGCAAGTAACTGCAAAGATCATGGCTTGGATCAGGTGCATCTTAATCTCTAAACCAACATTGTTGCTCTTTAATACACTGTAGAGGTCCCTGACAGCAGATTTTCCCAGTGCAATTTTTCTTTTCATTTCCTGGTTACTAATACCAAAGGTATTGATTGCAGAACCAAACAAACTGAAGCTATTAACAATCTCAATATTTTCTCTATCATGATGCAGCCAATTGATCCAGTGATGAGAATCTTTGTTTTCCTGATGCTGAGCTTCAATCTATAGTGAAGGCTGGAATCCTTGACTTTCTGCAGAAAACACCTCATGTCCTCCTCACTTTCAAAAAGCAGGATTGTGTCATCTGTCTAACACAGATTGTTGATGAATATTCCTTCAATCCTGTTGCCACATTCCTCCTCATAAAGTCCAGCCTCCAGTAGGGTAGAAGAAAAACCAAAACAACCTCAACACACACACACACACACACACACACACACACACACACCCCACAAACTCCCAGGGTTTTTTTCTTTATAGAATGCCCTGATATTCTTGGCCAGGTTTGTTGTCAGGATCTCCTCACTCTCTCAGACTTTGAATCTGGGCCATCATGCACACAGGTTGAACCTCTTCTGCAACATTCTGGATTTAGCTACTTTTAGCAACAATATTTAAAGGATGTTCTGGGTGAAATGACACCTGAAACCATTACACATATGGTGTGAGGTTAGCCCAGGGAAAGATGTTGAAAAGAAATGCTTACCAAAAAAAGAGCTTTTTGTTTTTAGGACAAACATAAATGAAAAATACCAAGACACTGCCCTCACAGCCCAATACTTAAACCTATTAACTACACACCAGAACCCCTAAAGAGTGAAAATAAAGAAATATATTTGACACAGGAATTTGAAGAACTGTTTATGAGTGGGACAGAAACAGGGAATGGGAAGAACAGAAAGGAGAGGGAGATTGAGGGAATGACTGAAAGGAAGAAAAGTAGGAAATGATGAGGGCCTAGAATCTCAACGGCAGACCCGCCTGTGGAACCCCTGTGCACCTCCTCAGAGGTACTGAGGGGCCAGCCAGCTGCCTTCTAGAATCTTTGCAGATAAATTTACAGAACTCTATGAGTAGTATCAGGTCAGAACCAAGGTCAAAGGGAGAACAAAGGAGTCAAAGAATGTCATCAGCATGTCAACAAAGGGAGTTAACAGCCTCAACTACCATGAATTGTCCCTCTCTTCCCTCCCTAGAAGACCACCCATCTGGCTAAACTACAATGGAATGTCCCTGCCATCCCTCCCTAAAGACCCTTACTATAAAACTTGCTTCTCTGTAAATGGTCATTAAATGTAATACAAAAACAAACAAACAAACAAAACTTGCTGTGTGGATCATAACAAGCTGTGGCTGACTCAGAAGAATGGGAATCCCAGAACACTTGATCGTGCTAATGAGAAATCTATACTTGGACCAAGAGGCAGTGGTCAGAACAGAGCAAGGAAACACTGCAAGGTTCAAAATTGGCAAGGGTGTGAGCCAGGGATGTGTCCTGTCTCCATACTTTTTCAACCTGTATGCAGAACAGATTATCCGGGAGGCTGGTCTCTATGAGGAGAAATGTGGGGTCAAGATTGGTGGAAGATCTATCAACAATCTGCGTTATGCAGATGATACACCCTGCTTGCTGAAACTGAGGAGGACCTGAAGCGCTTGCTGCAGAGGGTCAAGGACTGCAGCCTCCAATATAGATTGAGGCTCAATGTCAAGAAGACAATGATTCTCACCACTAGGCCTATTGGTAGCATCAGGGTGGGTTGTGAAGAGATTGCGATTGTTCACAGCTTTAGTTTGCTTGTCTCCACAGTCAATACTCTTGGCACCAGAAGCCGGAAATTAAAAGACCCATTGCAATGGGAAAGTCTGCTTTAGGTTCCTCTCCAAAGTACTGAAGAGCAATGTTGTCTCTTTGGAGACTAAGGTGCTCCTGATACAGGCCATGGTCTTTCCTATAACTTGTTATGCATCAGAGCATTGGATAATGACTAAGGAGAATAGAAGGAGAATTGATGCCTTTGAGCTGTGGTGCTGGAGAAGAGTATTGAGGGTACCATGGACTGCTAGGAAAACAAACAGATTTATCCTGGAAAGGGTTAAACCGGGTGGTTCCTTGGAGGCAAGGATTCTGAGGCTCCATCTAACATATTTTGGACATGTTATAAGGAGGGACCGGTCCTTGGAAAGGGACATCATGCTTGGGAGGGTGGAGGGACAGCGCAGGAGGGGAAGACCCTCTATGAGGTGGATTGATTCAGTGACTGGGGTAATCGGGGTGGGTTTGTCGGAGACAGTGCGATTGGCACAGGACAGAGCAGAGTTTAGGGCTGTTGTACACAGGGTCACTATGAGTCGCAAGCGACTGGAGGGCACATAACAACAACAATCTAAGGCGCGGTATTTCCCTGGTCTGTCCCTCTGCATGTTTCTCTGCAGACCAAGGACTCCCGCCCGGGAGCTTCCTTTCTTTCTCTGGGCCCTTCCTTTAGTCCTTGGCCTTACGTCCAGTGCTAAGACCTATCAAATGGGAGCTTTGTAAGGACGCAAAACACTGGTCTGCTTTGAAAGGACATTCTAGGGGAAGTGACGTCTGAATTGACGTAGAGGCTAAGACTGAATGCAGCCGACCATAAACCAGCAAAGCTTTACACACTTTTATCCCAGGACCCAATGCCCGCGGCCTCTTTAAGAAAGAGCGGAAGTGCTCCAGAAAGAGGGTGGGGCCGAGAGCGGGGCGGAAGCCGGAAGTCGAATTCTGTGTTGCGCGTGGCGGTGATGTCGGCTACCGGTGCTGTGGAGGCCGGGCTCCTGGGGCCGGCTATGGCTCCCTCGCCCGCCCCAGCCCAGACTGCCGCCCCGGGGAGCTTGTTCCGGCCCATCAGCGCCGAAGACGAGGAGCAGCAGCCCACTGAGATCGAGTCGTTATGCATGAACTGTTACCGCAACGTGAGAAGGGGGCGCGGCCGTGGGAGTAGTCAGGGATCGCCGTGTCCACTGGGCCAAGTTTGGACCTGGAGATGGGCTCCAGTAACTCTAGGACTGGAAGACGGGTTTCATTAGTTTCTCCTTTTTTTGCTTTCTCCTTCCCTAGGGCATGACGCGCCTCTTGCTCACCAAAGTCCCCTTCTTCAGAGAAATAATAGTGAGTTCTTTTTCCTGCGAGCACTGTGGCTGGAACAACACGGAGATTCAGTCGGCAGGCAGGATCCAGGACCAAGGAGTTCGTTATACTTTGACTGTCCGAACCCAGGAGGTGAGAGGTGCCCAGAGCAGGTACCCCAGGTTCCCAGATCTTCTAGTTCTAAGTTTTAATTTCCTCTTGTAAAATGGTGCTGGTGCTGTTTGAAAGTTGAGATAAGATCTGTGTACCTCATACAAGATTGTGTGAAATAAGGGAGAGTTGTCAAAGGGTAGAAAGTGTACAACAGATGCTTTAAATACCATTCTCAGTATCTAAATAGTCCCAGTACTGTTCAGCGGGCGTCCTGTGGACACTCTGGAGTGGAGAGAGAAAGAAAACGTGGGGTCTGATGGAAGGGGACACTCTGTTTGCTGAGGAGAAGCTGGCTGTTGAGTCTCTGAACCGAATTGTGTCCATTCTGCTCAGGACTTGAACAGAGAAGTGGTGAAGACTGACTCAGCCACGACAAGGATCCCTGAGCTGGATTTTGAAATTCCTGCTTTCAGCCAGAAAGGAGGTAAGATTAGGGTATTTGAGTTGTTCATGCTTTCCTGGAAGCCTTCCCACCTGTACTCCTATTGCTGTAGAGTACGAACTGACTCATAGCTGACCCTCCAGCAGGTTTCCAAGGCTGTACACCGCATGAGAGAAGACTGCCCATCCTTTTTTTTTTTTCCTCCTTAAGGAGCTGCTTGTGGATTCGAACCTCTAGAGAAGCTCTGCCTTTGTGTTAGCAGCACAGCTTCCTACAGACTACTCCAGAAGAGCTCCCCTTGTGTCAGTTTAGTAGTTTGTTCATGGGATTTGCTATGTAATTATGTCCCTGAGTGGAAAACTTGAGATAGGAGAGAGTAAACTACTCAGACCACGTTCTTATTACAGATGTTGTGTTCTTGCTGTTAGAGATTACTGGAACCTCCTGCCAGCCTTCTCATTTGCAGATAAAGAAATCACAGCCCAGGGAGTTAAAATGAATTACCTTGGAGACTCACTCACCTTTTGTTCTTGTTCACAAGCTCTGACTACTGTGGAAGGATTGATCAGTCGTGCTATTTCTGGCCTGGAGCAGGACCAGCCTACACGTAGGGTGAGTTGCAGTTTTTAAATGGAAGCAGTGCTAGGCATAATTTCTTTTTTTTTATAATTTCTTGTATATGTCCCAGTGGAATGTTTACCTTTTCTGTCACTAACTAGAATGTGAGAACACGTTTTGAGGAAGCACATGGTAATGCGATGGCTGACAGCATAAGTTGTTACTACTGTCTTTTTCTCCTAAATGTATATTCAAATCTCAGCTCAGATAGCTAGTGTGACATTACCTTTGAAGAACTTTTGAAGTTGTCTGTACACACTGAATATTCCATCATATATTTATTATGGTAAAAAAAAAAAAAACACCCACAAAAGAACTATGTATTATAACTGTATATTTAGTCATTTGTCTTCCCATTTAGTTGGAGAGCCCTTGGCAAGACTGAATTATTTACTGCTGTGCCCCTAACAAGTGCCTAGGTTAAGTGGTTGGGTGAATGAGGAAATGAAGGTCACCTAGCACCACTTATAAACTTCAAACTTGTTTGTTATAGCTCATCATGAAATCTGAGTCTCCCTATATCCACTCACACTAAAACAGGCCTGGAAGTAATATGGGCGTGAATGAGGGGTCAGGCTGATGTATCTACTCCTTGTTCATGACAGGCAAGTGAGGAAACCATAGCTGAAAGAATTGATGAGTTCATTGTCAAACTGAAGGCGCTAAAGCAAGTGGCTTCCCCTTTCACTCTGGTAAGTATTGAGGAATCGTGTAAAAGGAGCTCTATATGCACTGTAGTTAAGGCATTTGGCAGCTAATGACAAGGCTGGCAGTTTGCATTCACTTATTGCTCTCTGGAAGAAGGATGAGGCAGTCTGCTGTTGTAAAGAAACTCTTGGAAACCCTGTCTTGGTTGGTGTTATGTACTATTGGTGTAAGTTCTAACCAACTCAGAGCTGACACTCCAGTGGATTTTCAGAGGCTGTAAATCAACTGGAGGAGACTGCCCATTTTTTTCTCACAGAGCAACTGGTGGATTTGAACTGTGTGCCTTTGGGTTTGCAGTGCAAGTCCTTATGACTAGGCCACCAGAGCATCTTAGGAAACCCTATAGGGTAGTTCTTTCTACGCTGTCCTACAGGCTCACTGAACTGGAATGGATTAGATGGCAGTGGATTTAATTTATAATAGATTTAGGGGAAGATTGGAATGATTTCACTCTGATGCTCCTGGTAATGGTCTCCTGTATTTACTCTTTCCTTTCTTATCTGCTAGATCATTGATGATCCCTCAGGGAACAGCTTTGTGGAAAACCCATTTGCTCCCCAGAAGGATGATGCCCTGGTTATCACACACTATAATCGCACCTCAAAGCAAGAAGAGATGCTAGGACTCCAGGTAAGGATTCCCTGAAATGATCTTCCACCCTGGATCGCTTGAGGCAGTGGAAACCTAACTTTGTTGCAGATGTCCTGTGTGTGTTCTCTCTCAGCCTGTTTATATGCCTGTCATCTAGCTCAGATCAGAGACGTAGAGTAAATGGCATGGTAAAGCATATCAGTAGCTGTAATGTAATTTTAAGTTCTGTTTTTCTCAACTTGGGCTTTGGCAGCTTCTCTGTCAAATCTATGAGGTGGCATGTGATGTAAGCAAGGCTAAGCATTTCTTCCCACTCCTGGGCCAGGTGTTGAGGAGACTGGGGCATAACTACCAATTTGTGATTTGTGTTCTCTGCTGTTTTAGGCAGAGGCACCAGAAGAGAAGTCCCAAGAGGAGGACCTCAGGAATGAAGTGAGTCCCATTGGTGCTGCTAAGGAAGGGGCAGGTTGTGGTTGGGATTGATGCTACTCAGTGGCTCCTTCCCTCCACTTCAACATGAGTGAGCCTAAGGAGGCTGACGCTGTGTCCCCAAATTGTGTTCCAGGTACTGCAGTTCAATACAAACTGCCCAGAGTGCAATGCTCCAGCTCAGACCAACATGAAGCTAGTACGTATCTTTTGTCGGGCATTCGGATTGCTCTTCCTCCAACGCAGGCATGAAGACGATACATAGGCTGGAAACACTCCATTCAAGAAAAGCACATGTACAGTTCTGGTGATGTGAAGCGCCCACCTTAGCGTCCCTGAGTCTTTATTGAAAATTGCCCAGGAGCAAATCACCAAGAGAATTCAGTGCAAATGATGTTAAACTCTTTCTATTGAAAATCTTATGCTTGATTCACGAGGGAGGGGTTAGTAAATACAATACAAGAATCCTTTAAATGCTTAAGGATTGCCTTAATGTCTGCCCCTCTAAACATTTAAGGATTGCCTTAGTGCTTCAGGGTGAATTCCAGCTTGTATCAGCCACCCTCATATCCTGAAATAGCATTTGGTTTATTATATTTAGTATGAATTTGGCTTCCCACAGTGAAGAATGCTGCCTTTGGTAAGATTGTGTTTTTAGACCCAAAGAGAGAATGAGTTGTTCTCAGCCATGTGGCCTGAGCTGTACCATATCCAGAGGAGTGGCTGTGTGAGGTTCCTTTTTCTGATGTATTTCCTGGCAGTTCTAGAACATATTCTTCCCTAGAGAGCAGCTTTCCTTTCTTAGAAGCAGATTTCCTTGACTTCACCTTCCAGAAATCCCCCACTTTAAGGAGGTTATCATCATGGCTACAAATTGTGAGAACTGTGGGCACCGGACCAATGAGGTGAGTGGGCATTGTTAAGGGATGGAGGGTGGTTGGGTCTTAGGAGGCCGTAGGTTAGGGCAAGGAGCCCTTGAAGGAACCATATCCATCCTAGAGAAGGAAAGTTAATGCCTTTAAAATTTGTATCATTTCTTTGGAAGAGAGAGAAGGTTAAGATTTTAGGCCTCTTCCCCAGAGCGGTGGAAATTTTGGGTGGATGGTAGGATTCCCATAAGAACTTTCATAATCCCCAGAGCTTTCTGAGAATACAATGGGCTGCCTTGGAGAGCTGTAAATTCTCTTCCTGTAAGTGTAAAACACAAGCTGGTGTGACGTAATGTGGGTATTATAAAAGAGATCCAGACATTAGGTGCAGTTGACAAAAGAGCTGGACAAAACCTCAGAAGTTTCTTTTAACCCTGAGGGTCAGAATTTTCTTTTTAAAGGTAAACACAGTTTCCTGGCAGTGTGGGTAGAGGTTGGCAGGCCATGGTACTGGGCACTCCAGCCTGGCCACCTTTTGGTGTTTTTGTTTGAGTGCTCCTGTTGGTAGAAGTCTCCTTGGAGGTCTCACTGAAATAGTGGATTGGGCTTGTTTCTGCTGCCACTGCTACTGACTGTCATCTGTGCAGGTGAAATCTGGGGGTGCAGTTGAGCCCCTGGGCACCAGGATCACCCTCCACATCACAGACCCCTCAGATATGACCAGAGACCTTCTCAAGGTAACAAATGTTTTTCAAAATGACTGTCCTCATATTCCTGTCTTTGTCTAGGAGAAATACTTGCTTTTGAAAATAAAACCCTGGGGACATGAGGTACCTACGTCCCTGCATTCAGGGATCCTTGATCAGAGTTCATCTGTCTTTGGAATTGCAGGCTCAGAAGGTGGTCCCTGAAATCTTCCTGCTGACTTTGAGCCCTTTAGTGTCTAATGTTTTTGTCTTTGGTGTCTACTGATGGGACACCAAGTGTGGAGCTGTGATTTAGAACCTCCTTTATTAAGTGGTTCCTTTTCTGCACTTCACATGGACCGCAGACATCTTTAACTCAGACAGAGAAATCAGATCAGCTCACCTCTATCCCCAGTCTATTACTGCTGGTACTAATTCAGGAGGGGCTTCTTTCTGGATGATTTTGCTTTTAACTGAAAGCTTCATTTGAATTCTCTTCTTTCAGTCTGAGACGTGTAGTGTGGAAATCCCGGAGCTGGAATTTGAACTGGGTATGGCTGTCCTTGGGGGCAAGTTCACCACACTGGAGGGGCTGCTGCAGGACATCCGAGAGCTGGTGAGTCCCTGTGTTGGTGCCTGCTGTTTCCAGCAATTCTACCGTTTGTGGAAAAGGACCAGAAGACCTCATGTGGCCTAGTTTCTAGTGCTGATAACTAAGGACTTCTTTGCTTTAAGACTGAATTAAGAGACTTAAATGTTATTTCAGATTTTGAAGATATTTATATGAAATTTTAAATGAAATTTCCTGGCCTTAACTGGGATCTTGTAGTTACTTTGTAATTTTAGGTGAAGGAATTATTTCATTGTAAAATAAGGGAGGAAGGTCCTTTCACCACCTAAAACTCCCCAGCATACATTTATGTATCTGTTGACTTACCTCACTTATTTATCCTTTTGATGAGTACATTTACTCAGTTAATTCTTAGTTGTTGGGCGTTTGTCTTTCTGAATGGAACTTTTTTCCCTACTCCATTTAACAAGAGGAAAAAAGATATCTATAGGTAAAATTCTTATTTAACATTGCCAGTTATTGTCTTGGTAGATTATTTATTTTCAAGACCAGCTACCTGGTCAGAAAGGTGGTGTGTGGCAAATAGAGATCCAGCTTGCCCACCAGGCACCCTTCTGGTATCCCTGCCAGGCTTATGGTCAAACCTAACAAACAGCCACAGCCAAAATACCATTTGGAGGTCTATGTGTGCCTAAGCTGAGTGCTATACCATTTATTGCAGGTCACCAAGAACCCTTTCACACTGGGTGACAGTTCCAGTCCTGGCCAGGCAGAGAAACTGCAGGAGTTTACTCAGAAGTTGGACCAGGTGAGAACACACTAGCCAGTACTGGTCATCACAGACTGCATTTAGCCATGGGCTGGCTACCTATGCACTTCTGCCCATATTTTAACCTTTCTTACCCAACATGTTTGGACATCTTCTGGTTTCTGATATTTCTGATCATCTTTTGGCTTAGTTTTCGGCTTTATTTTGTTGGTATGTCTTTTCTGGCAGCTTCTTAAAGGAGGAGTGATTGTTGTTAGGTGCTGTTGAGTTGAGTACAACCTGCAGCGACCCTATGAACGAGATCTGAAGCCTGTGATTGGGAAATACTATTTTTGGGATTTACACACCTAAGAATTTCTTTATTCTAACCTCACACTGGATGCTTGCTGACTTGGAATAGAATTCTACATTGAAGATAAATTTTCATCACAGTTTCCCTTTGAATTTTCTTTTATTGTGTTTTCAGTAAAAACTTACATAAACAATTTAAATTTCTGTCCAACAATTTCTAGAGAAATTGTCCAGTGATTTTAGTTGCATTCTATATAATACATGAACATTCTCATTATTTCCATTCTGGTGGTTCTGTTTCAGTTCTTCTAGTTTCTCTGCTCCCTTACAATGATTCTCATCTTTGTTTTAAAGTAATTGTTGACTCTTTGTTTTGTATCTTGTTGCATACCATAGAGTCAGAACTGACTCATAGCTGACCCTCCAGCAGGTTTTGAGAGGCAATATATTGAATGGGAGATTTGTTCCTCTTTCTCCCATGGAGCAGCTGATGGATTTGAACTGCATACCTTTGCATTGGCAAGCGAAATCCCTTACCACTCAGTTCTGAGAGCTCCCCTTGGTCTTATATAGGTAATTTTTTAATAGAGCACAATAGGTGATACTAATTATTTTGTGAGCCAACCGCTACCTAGCTAAATGTGACCTCTCGGTAGTTTTGGTTTGAAATTTAAAGCGTATCTGTCAGGGCCGTTGCATCGGGAAGTCTACGAATCTTAGGCAATTTGGTTTTGTTTGATTTTAGAAAAGAGTTTCTGTTCTATTTTCTTCTTTTCTCAGGGTCCATCTCATAGGACTTTGATCAGAATGGTTAGTAGTGAGTGGTAGCTGGGCATCACCTACTTCTAGTCTCAAGGCAGATGAGGCCATTGTAGACTGTTGGTCCTGTAGACTCGCTGCTTCTCTGAGTCTTGGTTTCTTTTTCTTTGCCCTGAATAATTTGGGAACTGAGTTGTATCTTATGTATATGGCAACTTGTAGGCTTTTAAAATTCCAGATACAACTGGCCAAACTAGGATACAGAACAAAAACTTTTATGAACTGCTTTATGCCAGTTGACTGAGATATGAGGCTGTGGTTTCCATGAGAAATTTTGGTTTCCACTAATGATTTATTTGGTTACATGTAAGAAGTATTTGTAATTATGTTTCCTATGTATACTGTATTATGTTAGATGTTAACTGAAAGCCAGCCATTGGAATCCACCAGAATTCCTTGAAAGGAAAATGAACAGTCTCTTCCCAAAAAGATTTAAAGCCAGGAGGCCTTAGGAGCTGGAATAGACCTGATAGCAGATGTGCTTTACACATGAACAATGTATGTGCTTAATGTCACATACGCATATGTGTATATGTGCATACATCTTTTATATATACACATATGTACTTAATTGATTGACATACATAACTATTAATGTAATGTATTGACATGTATAAACAAATACTAGCACATAAATCTTTTTGCTGTATAGTTGTTACTGTTTAAAAATTTTATGTGCTGAGGGAGCTCTGGTAGCCTAGTGGCAAGAAGCTGAGCTACAATCCTGAAGGCACATGGCTCAAATCCACCAGATGCGCCACTGTACAAAGAGGGGCAATCTCCTGTGCCAGTCAGATCCGACTCGACAGTACACAACAAGGAAAAAAAAATTATATGTGCTATAACAGTTACCCAAAAAGTCCTTCTTTTCTTGTGTACAGTTTAGTGTCATTGTTTACCTTTGTCAAGCTGCACACATTTCATCCTCACACCAGGTTACCTTTCCCATTTCCCAAAATAACAAATGATGGCTTACACTGAGAAGAATTGGAACCCAGAACACTTCTTACACGAAATATACACCTAGATCCAGAGACTCTTGTCCAAACAGAGCAAGGGACCACTGCGTAGTTTAAAATTAGGAAAATTTGTGTCAGGGTTGTATCATCTCTCCATAGCTATTGAATCTGTGTGTCGAATAAACCATTAGAGTAGCTGGACTCTGTGAAGAAGACTGTCACATCAGGATTGGAGGAAGATTCATCAACAGCCTGCATTTTGCATATGAAGAGAACTTGAAGTGCTTGTTGCAGAAAATCAAAGATCAAAGCCTTCAATGTGGATTATACCTCAATATTAAGAAAATAAAAATTCTCACCACTGGGTCGATGGGGCAACAGCATGATGGATGGAGAAAAGATTGAAATTGTCAGTAATTGAATTTTACTTAGATCTGCAGTCAACACACTTGGTATAGGAGATCAGGAGATACACTGTGTTGGGATAGTCTACAGTCAGGGACTTCTCCAAATTACTTAGGAGCAACAATATCAGTTTGAGAACTAAGGTGCACCTGATTCAGTTGATGGTCTTTTCAGTCACTTTCTATGCATCAATGGATGGCTTTGAGTTGTAGTGTTGGAGATGAGTACTACCAAAGAACAGATAGATACGTCTTGGGGAAAATGCAGCCAGAGTGCTCCTTGAATGCAAGGATGCCAAAGGTTCCTCTCACATGCTTTGATCATGTCATAAGGAGAAGCTGTTCCTTGGAGAGGGACATCATGTTTAGAAAGGTGGGTGAAAGCAAGGAAGACCCTCAATGAGATGCATTGATACCGTTATTGCAGAAACGGGTTTGAGTATGTCAGAAATGATGAGATTGCACAGGACAGGACAGTGTTCAGATGTGTTGTTCATTGGATTGTTCTGAGTCATGCTTGACAGCACCTGACAACTACCTAGAGGCAGTCTTTTTCTCACTCCCAATTTCATCAGAAATTTGAAGACACTGACTCATGTCAGGTTTCTGATTTGGCTATCAAGAAATGAGAACCTGAGCCCTCTCTTTTGTATGTGACCTGTTACTGTGAAGGTATTTTTATACCCCCTTTGGTATGAAATTTGATGTGATGCCTTGGTGTGGTCAGTTTGAATCATTGTTTTAAGCTTTATTTTGGATCTTTTCAGTCTGAAAACACATATATGCTCAGTTCTAGGACATTTTCTTGAATTCTTTTACTGATGATTGCGTCTTTCTTTTTCTGAAACTCTTATTAAAAGACTTCTGGATTGGTCCTCTGTAATTTACTCAGTGGTTTTTTTATCAATGGCTTTTAAAAAATTATTTTTAACAAAAGTTTACAATAAAGTTGGATTTTCATTCATTCATTCATTCATTCATTCATTCTTCCCCCAGTTCACTTTTTAAGAAAATTTAACTATTCATTCACTGTTGCACAATTACATCCATCCCCCTCCCTCCCTTCTCTCCCAGTACACTTTGCAATGCACTTATTCTGGACTATACGCATACATATAATGCCTAGTCATATATTCCTTTTAAACAGGTTTTTTTCCCTTAGTTTTTTAGTTCTATTTTTGGTCTCTGTTCTTTTCTCTGCTTTGAGAGATCCCTTCAGCTTCTTACCTCTTCACTTAAGACCCCCATTTACATTATTGTTTCAAGAGCTTTTCTTGTCTTTGGTGTTTTTTTTAAAGGGCATCCTGTTTTTGGATTTTTTAAAAATGGCATTCTGTTCTTTTAAGAATTTTTTTTTAAACCTCTTGAGGATGTTGATGTTGGTGTTTTTGAAGGGTTAGTTTGCTTTTTTTTCCCTTGCATATAGTTTCCATTCCCTTTTTCATTTGCTTTCTGTCCTTCGCCACTAGAGACTTTGTTAAGAGGTTTAATCATTATTGACTGACTTTGTTTTTTTTTTTTTTTCAATTTTTTTTTTTTTTGTT